GCACGTGATTAATCAAGGATATAAAAATAGTCCATAAATTAACCTAACATTTGACAACAATGAAATTACAATCTGTGAATGATATTACCTGTTTAATAATAATGGAAATTTTGGGCACAGTCCCTTGACTCTCTAGGCCGTGACTCGTGAGAATCCTTTAATTTAATCAATTTGGTAGAAATTTGAATGAATTTACCACTGATTATTTAGATATTTGTTTATGTAATATTTAATTATTTTTTAATTTAAATACTAAATGCATGATTTCTTCATATAAAAAAGGGGAGGGGGGTTGTTTGAATCGAAATTCACCATTAAACAATTTGGAATTGTTTAAATCTTATATTGAACTTTTAATTTCATAATGTCCTGTTTAGCCAATATGCAGGATTGCCGGATGTCTATATGGCATAAGAGGAGAATTGGATATAGAGTCTTCTACATTTTTGTAAAGAATTTTGAAGTTTTCTTGAGTGGTGGTCAATAACATTATAACGTTAAAAAGAGTGGAAGAATTTATAGGTTATAAAATATTCTACAAAAATAGAGAGATTTGTAGAGATGTAAATATTTGATGGTTAGATGAGAAGTTTAGATTTTAAATATTGTAATGTATCCTATAGGTCTATTAATCAGGAAGATGTCTATATAAGTAGTGGAAGCCTCATTTGTAATATCATCACACCAAAACCTTATGCGGAAAAAACAGCACAAGCAAAACCAAAACCCCCTCTGCCACAAAACTAGCCCATTCATGGTCCAAACCAAATCCCTCTATACCGAAAAACCAGCACAGGCCAAAATCAAAACCCTTCTATGCCACAAAACTAGCCCGTTGATGGTCCAAACCAAATCCCTCTATACCGAAAAACCAGCACAAGCCAAAATCAAAACCCTTCTATGCCACAAAACTAGCCCGTTAATGGTTCAAACCAAAATCCCCTCTGCCGAAAAACCAGCACAAAGAAGACTTCTCGGATGATGAGCAGCCCAGTCGGTCAATGTGCTAAGCTGCACCTGGACCGGCTCAAGCTCGTTCGCAATTCTCAACTCTTCATCAGCCCCTTTAATTTCGCCATAATAATTAGGGCAAGATTAATGCGTAATGACGGCGACAAAGGTTGCGATGATGGCTTATAAATTGGAGGCGGCTTTGTTCATTTTTTTATTCTTTTTTTTCTTCGAATTTCTCTCTGGTTGATGCGGGTTAAAACTAATTGTATAAATATTCAAATTTAATTATAATAAATAAAAAATTCACAATATAAATTCTAATATATATTCTTAATTTAAAATAAGATCTAAGAAAAAATCACATCATGGACAAACTCTATTATATATTCCTTTTATCCAATCAAGTATGACTTGTATATGCACAAAAAAGGCAAAAGAAAGTGAAGTTATACAAGAAAAAAAAAGGGTTAATTTCATTGACACCCCTCAGACTTGGTCAAATATCATTCTCAAAGCATTTTTGGAAAATAACAATCTTGTACATTGTGTCATAATTGCACAATATAAAATGATTTAAATCAGATAAAAAGACTAATATATCCCTAAAAAAATCAGATAAAAAAGATAAAAAAAAAATCAGATAAAAAGACTAATATATCCCTAAAACTATATATATATATATATATATATACCCATTTTGTTTGAGATAATAAATTTATGCTGTATATATATACATACACATAATTAGAATACCTATTTTGTTTAAACTTCATACTATATACATTCACACACCCACATAATTAGTTTCCTATTTTAATTTGAATTTGTTCATGTATATATTAATTTGAAACTTTTATTAAATTTGTTTTAATTCTAAGCCATCTGTCATTTATTTTAAGTATAATTAATTGAATTTGTGTTTAATTATTTTTTTAACACCCCCAAATCAAATTTAGTGGCATTCATTTTTATATTTTCCACTTAAATGTTTGTGACTCCACAATTCTTTGCCCAATCAACAAATAATTTTGCAATAAACCTAAATTATATGATCATGAGTCTCTTAATTTCCAGTTAGCCGCAAAAAAATATATGGAAAATTGTAGAAGATACAAAAGTCTATCACTCTACAATCCACCTAAGAATCAATCAAACAGTAACCAGAAGAGAGAGAATTGAAGTGAAAAACAAAAATTATGAAATGGGTATTGAAGATTAAGAAAAACAAAAACCATTAAACCCAATTGAGGAGTGATTAAGGCAGTGGAATCAGAAATTACAGAAAGCCGTGAAACTGAAGAACTCAACATCCAAATACATGAAGAGAAGAGAAGAGATGCAATGGAGAAGACGGCCTGCCCCAATCGCAGAGTCACTGTTGTTTTTTAATTGGTCTGCTTCCTCTACGTCAGAGCTTCACCCAATTCCAAGCCCATCAAAGGCGTCAAGACCTAGGACGTCTCCATTGACTCCACCCGCAATCTCTGGTTCACGTCTTCCTTCCTACCAAACCACCACCGTCCGGTGACCTCTTGCCATGATTATCTTCTTCCACGATGGCAGATTCACCTAGTTTGTCGTCTTTGCCTTCACCGCCGACCACCGCCAATTTATTAGTTTGGCAATTCGCCGTCATCGCCTCTGTACGCAAGTTGCGATTGTTACATTTATATATATATATATATATATATATATATATATAACAATATATATATACAATATATCTAAGGTATATATATATTATATATATTGTTATATATATGTATCTACTATTATATATATCTGAGGGGTGAGGGGTGTAATGGTTATTCAAGTAATATGATATTTTGAAATAAATAGGGTTAAAAAATTAAGGGCAAAGTTGTCTTTTTTTATATTTTTAACGAAAAAAATATAAATTAACCTAAGTAATAGTTATTTCACAAAATGTTTGATAGTGATATTTGGGCAAACCAGATAGGGTGTGGTGAAAAAAAAAAAAAAAAAAAAAAATCGCATATAATTTCTAAAATGCTAAAATTAAAACTGTACAATTAATAAACTGTGACAGTATCTGTGGAGGGAAAAATCTCCCTCTAATGAGAACTGTACACGTCATCGCAACATAAATACCCATCACAAATGTCAGAGGCCCATCCTGCACAAAGCCCAGTCCAAGCTCGTTAGTAGCCCAGAATCATATGACACTAGCCCAAGGTTACAGCTAATTGATCTTTGTAGCACTGCTCAAGCCCGAAACAAGAGATCCAACCCATTGACAATGTCACATGGATCAGGTTACTTATGGCCCAACTCCATTAAAAGGAAATTAGTCCTATTAGAAGAAGGATATAGCAAAGAAAGAAACTACTACACAAGGAGAATTATACAAAGAAAGTAGCTCTATTTGTAAAGAATTTCTGTAAGGAAAGAATTAGAGGACAAGCAATGCGAGTCATACCATAATTCAACCAATTTTTTGTGTATAAATAGAGGCTCAGACCTCCAATAAAGGGATCAAGCAATTCTACGCTTCTCTATACACCGTTCTTATTCATTCTTACTGTTTTTGAGTGTGTTGTCTTATTTTTCTCTATCATTATTGGTTGAGCGAAATTTTACACCTACACTTTGGCGCCGTCTGTGGGAAGCGTGTGCAAATATATTCCCACTCTTGTTTCAAGTGAATCCTTCAACTACCATCTGGAATGTTGAATGGAGAATCTTTAACAGATCAACAGACGGAGTTGATGCAGAAGATGCGTGAAGAGTTTCTACACCAGTTTGACGTACTTCGTCAAGCAAACGAAGCTAGCGTGGCTCAGATCGTCTTGCTTCAACAACATTATAACGCTCTGCAAAAGGCGATAGCTCAGTTGGCACCACCGCCACCACCAGGTGATACGGCAGCACCCCCTAATAAGAATATTCCTCCAGTTAACAGGCTTCCACCTAATGGGGCACGACCCAACGAAGCTTAGCCAAATGAGGTTCAGCAACAGTGGAGGGCAAAGTCCGAGGCTGTCGCTTCAGACAACATCCCTTGTCGCACGCAGGACGAGCAAGTCGAGTCTAGCCATAAGCTCACGGTGTGGTCCAATGGAATTCCAGATGGTGCAGGTATTCAGGACGCCTTTGATGAGAAAAGACTCCTGAAGATTCAGACACCCGCTGAGATGGCCAAAGTGCACAAAAACTCCCTGGTGAAAACTCCTTTCACTGACGATGTGTATATGGTTGAGAGGCCCAAGAAATTTACCATGCCTTCTTTTACTCAGTTTGACGGTACGGGAGATCCTTCTCGGCACTTGGATCATTACGCCCAAAAGATGGCTTTGGATGACCATAATGACCCTTGGATGTGTAGAGTTTTTCCTACCAGTTTAACAGGAGCAATACTAGAGTGGTTCAAGAATAGGCCACACAAGTCCATCCCGGATTACGTAACTCTATGCACCATGTTCCTAGCATAATATTGCGGAAATAAAAAGCAAAAGAAGAGTATTGCTAGCCTCTTCATCGTAAGGCAAAAGAAAGGGGAAACACTGCAAGATTTCTTATCTAGATTCAACATGGAAGCTTCGGAAATAGCAGACTGTCATCCCGCAACTGCTATAGAAACATTTAAACTTGCAATGATTTAGGGGATGAAGTTTCATACTTCCTTGGTCAAATATTCTCTTTCCAACATGCAAACTCTCAATGCTAAGGCCTAGATCTACATCCGGCTCGAGGAAAATGTAGCCCACCGAGCGCAGCACGCCACTCTCGTGACAGTGGAGAACAAGCCTCGAGAGAGAATTCCAAATTCAAAAATTCAGAAAAGCCAACGCGCCTCAACGCTGATCACCCAGGCACCTAAGAAGAGGCAAATGATAGAGGAAGGGTTTACACCTCTCCGAACTACCTTAGCACGGCTCTTTCAAGAGAATAAGATGAGGTTTACAGCCTCGCAGCCAATGAAGCAACCCTTGGAGCAGAGGGACAAAAGCAAGCATTGCGCTTATCATCGAGATTATGGGCATTCAACTAATGATTGCAGATCCCTTAGGTGACAAGTGGAAAATATGATTGCCAGAGGTGAGTTGGCAGATTACCTCATGACGAAGGAGTATGTGAATCCCCGCGAGGTCTATCCTCGCAAGGTAAAAGGTACTCAAGTAAAAGTCATTCATGCAATACATGGCAGATCTGAAGAAGATCAAGAGTCCAAGGAGGTATACAAATCTAGATTGAGGGCAGCCCATAAGCTCAGGAAGATATCCTCGGTCAATGCTATCGCTTCGGGCAGCATCAGTATTGGATTTGGCGATAGCGACCTATCCAGAGTTCAACTCCCCCACGAGGATCCATTGGTCATCAGTCTTTTAGTGGCAAATTTCATGATCAAGAGGATTTTGATAGACCTAGGAAGTAGCGCCAACATCATCACAAAGGCGGTCTTTGAGCAGCTAGAGATCCCGTCATCATCTATTTGACTTACCTCCAGCCCATTGATGGGGTTCGATGGCACAAGAGGAGATCCCCTTGGGGTAATAGACTTATCCGTAACTAGGGCGAAGAGGACTCTGAAAGAGAACTTTGTCTTAACAGAGATCCATCCTTCCTATAATCTCATCATGGGAAGAGGCTGGATACACCGAACGAAAGGAGTTCCGTCCACCCTTCATCAGGTGATGTGGTGCTTATCTCCGGACGGAAAAGAGGTTATTAACTTATGGAGCGATCAAGTCGCTGTGAATGAATGCTATATGCTGACACAGGCTAAAGCAAAGAAGGTTCTAAATAGCCTCAACCAGGCGTGACTCCCAAAAATATACCCAAATAGCAATTACAGAGCCCTTTGCCCAAGTATATTAAGGTAGAGGAGGAAGAAGAAGCTGCGAAGCCTACCGAAGAGATCCTCGAAGCTATAGAAGTTATCCTCGATAACCCCCAGAAGGTCACTTATTTAGGCTCTTCTTCCACATCCGAAGAAAATGAAGCAGTAATTGATGTCATTCGGAGTAATGCAGATGCTTTTGCCTGGGATCATTCGGACATGATAGAGATCGACCCTTTAGTCTCTTGCCATAGCCTGAAGGTGGATCTGGAGTTCAAACCAGTTAAGCAGAAACACCGAAGGTTCGCCCCTGAACGCAATCACATTATAGCTGAAAAAGTAAACAAGCTGTTGCAAGCAGGTTTCATCCGAGATGTGCAATATTCACAATGGTTATCAAACGTGGTGGTCGTACAAAAGAAGAATGGAAAGTGAAGGGTTTGTATAGACTATACCAACCTTAACAAAGCCTGCCTTAAAGATAGCTTCCCTCTGCCAAAGATAGATCAGATGGTTAATGCTACTACTGACTATGAAAGGCTGACATTCCTCGATGCGTACTCGGGATACAATCAAATTCCTAAGAATCCAGAAGATGAAGAGAAAACTGCTTTCATTACAGAAAAGGGGACTTATTATTATAGGGTCATGCCCTTCGAACTGAAGAACGCCGGGGCCAATTATCAACGCCTTGTTAACAAAATCTTTGACAATTTGTTAGGGAAGACGGTTGAAGTATACATAGATGACATGGTGGTCAAAAGTGTGAAGAAGGAAGACCATTTGAAGCACCTCCAGGAAGTTTTCAATATTCTGAAGAAGTACAACATGAAACTGAATCCTTCCAAGTGCTCCTTTGCAGTATCATCAGGTCAATTCCTCGGCCATATAGTGAATAAAAGAAGGATAGAGGTAAGCCCGGCTTAGGCTAAGGCCCTCATGCAGAATTAGGAACCAAAAAAATCATAGGGAGGTGCAAGTTCCTACCGGTCGGATCGCAGCTCTCAGCCGATTTATATCCCGATTATCAGATAAGTGCAAACCATTCTTCGATGCCATAAGATCTAAGAATAAGGATATATAGGGACCTCAGCAGCAGGTGGCCCTCAATCAGTTGAAACGTTATATGGCCGAACCTCCAATTCTATCCGCTCCAAAACCTGGAGAAGTTCTTATTATGTACTTAGCAATTTCTAGTATAGCGATAAGTGTAGCGTTAATTAAAGAGGAAAGAAAGAATCAACATCCAGTCTTCTACACAAGTAAGACAATGATAGATGCGGAGACACAGTATAGCAAAGAGGAAAAAATCATCCTAGCCTTGGTTTATGCCAAGAGGAAGCTTCGGCATTATTTTGAATCTCATAGCATTGTGGTATTCACCAACTATCCTATATGGGGTATACTCTCTAAGCCAGATCTATCTGGAAGAATTACCAAATGGGCCATCGAGCTTAGTTCCTTCGACATAACCTATGAGCCGAAGGTGTCGCACAAGGGACAAGCCTTAGCAGACTTTCTCCTAGAATACGAGGATACTCCCAAAGAACCAAAACTCCCTGAACCACAGTGGGAGCTTCGGGTCGATGGCTCCTCGAACCAAACAAGTGCAGGAGTTGCAGGAGTTGGGGTTGTTATATCAACACTCGAAGGCACCAAATTGCAGCAGTCCATTTGCTTGAATTTCCCTGCTACAAACAATGAGGCTGAATATGAGGCGTTACTTGCTGGTCTTCAATTGGCCAGTAGCCTTCAGGTACGGTGTTTAAAAGTTTTTAGTGACTCACAGCTTGATATAAATCAAGTGACAGGTTAGTATTATCCCAAAGAGGAAAGGATGAAAGCATACAAAGAAGATGTAGAGAATGTTACACGAGGATTCGATCAAGTCGAATTCCACCAGGTACCTCATGTTGAGAATACTGAAGCAGATCAATTAGCCATAGCAATGTCATCCTCAAATGAAGATCTGACTCGGATTGTGCCAATTGACATCCTGGACGAACCCAGCATCAACCCTCAGCAAGAAGTAATGGTGATTCCAGTCATTCCGCGAGAACCATGCTGGATTGATCCATTGGAAGCTTACCTCAAGCATGGGACTCTTCCAAACCAGAAAACTGAAGCGCGGAAGCTTAGACTCACCGCAGCTAAATATGCCATCATCAACAACCAGTTATACCGGAAGTCATTGTGATACCCCTCGGATCCGAGACACGGGTTGATCAGGCCCAGGCCCAAACCCGAGGGAATATCAAACAATTAATATTTTATAACGAACACGGAATACAAAATGAATTAAGAAATGAAAGTTTAAAGCTGAAAAGAAAACTAAAAGAAAATCCTTAAATAATTAAATACTTAAATTTGATAAACCAAATATCCATAATTTGAACAACTCGGGAATCCATCTCCAGTGGACCCCTAATAAAAATCTCACACTGAATGAAAGTAAAATGAAAGATAAAATCCAAATCCAAGATCTGGAAAGAAATCCTACATTGTCGGTAGAATGGAAGATCGTCTCTGCACAGCACGAACAAGCTCAAGCCTGGAACTGACGTACACCTGAAAAATAGGAGTGGGTCAGGCCCACGAACAAGTTCTATCCTACTACAATCCAAGCAGAGACTCGATACGCATGTACATACTAAATAGTTCAACAATAACTAATAATCCGTACATAAATATATACACACTACTGGACTCTCGCTAGGCCATGAAGGGGGTCTCAACCTGGATAGAAGGCATCACACAATACGCACCTGAGTGGGTATGAGTACCTAAACCTAAACAGGGTATACCTCAACCTTCACAGTCAGCTACACATCCAACTGCATATACGCACCCTAACCGTCGACACTGAGACTCAAGCTCATGACACGGTAACATAAAAATATATCTAAACTCCGTTTCTATCCATCCACAAGAAATCCAGTAAGTCATTCGGCGTATTCAACCGTACCGAATTATATATATAAGGAGGATTGTATTTTATAACCCGTGCCCTTACTCCAAAATAGGTAGGACTTAGCAATTTGAGCTAATCCAAACCTAGTATGTCACCGTCCCATTCCGGTACATACAATCCAATCCGTCCAATAGTTGATAAAGCATCGTTAATAATAACAACAATATCAACAATTCCATACTAAACATAATAGAATGCATTAGCAACCATTCTTAAAAATACCAATAATTGATTCACATTGAAAATATAAATATCAATGTCAACTACTCCTTACTATGCATATTGAAATAGATAATCAACATGCTTATTTACATTCACAGTTGATAAAATAATGACCATATAAATGTCAATACCAACAGTTCCAAACTAAACATGTTAGAACAGATTAACAAACATGCTTAAGTAAGCCAATTCAGAATCCATAATTTGATCATACAGGGCTTTATTTGTAATTATGACCTATTCCCAGTTTCCATAGAATTAACAGAGCCTAAATAGATATTTTCCCACTCAAATCTATAGCATGCAAAATAAATATAAGTAATCTATTATACTTATAGTTTCCTGTCCAACAACTTGCCGCACTAACCGTTAAATTTAATCATCAACTAATTTTCAGTGAAATATAAATTTTTAGCATAATTTCTATTTCCATGAACATATAATTCGAGTGGACAAGCTCTCACAGAAAATTTCTAATATAATTAAGAAATTAGAAACTCCAAATCCACACAGTCTACAAGACATTCGTAATTAACTCCATGTAATCCTAATAATTAATGCTTTGTGTCCAATTCTATGTTAATCTGGTCTTTGCCTATTTACGTTTACCCTAGACCACTCCTAAACCATCCATTACAGTATTCATTCTCCACTAAAACATATTAAAACAATCACTAGGAAGCCTAATCACTGAAAAATTGGAAAAACAACCAACAGAACCAAAAACCCACGAATAAACAACCTGGAGCTGGCTCCAGAATATTGGAGCAGCCTCCAATGGCCCTGGAGCCGGCTCCTAGACCATTGGAGCCGCCTCCAGTCCAAGGAGAGCCGGCTCCAATCCAATAGGAGCCGGCTCTCTCCCTCCTCTTCTTCGTGTTCTCCTCTCCGGTCACCGTTTACGCCTCCGATACTTCACAGTATAGGTTTTCAGAGAGTTTAACTTAATCCCAGAAGATTCCAACCCTTAATTCAGTCCTTATTATGCTACTAATATGGATTAAACCAAGAATTAAACAAGAAAGTTCAAAGTTTAAACAGTTTACAATTTTAAAGCAAATTCAGTTTCAGTGAAACTCTGAACATGAAACAGCTAACGTTTTTAGTTTTTTTTAAACATGTAATTCATCCTGGAACTATTGAGTATGCAAAGAACACGAGTATAAGGGAGAGAGTAAGGTTAGAACTTGCCTTTGAGATCTTTGTCCAAAAATCTCTACGCCGTTTTCTACGATCTCCGGCGATTCCTCCTACAACTTCCTCTGTTCCTCGTTTTTAATTCCACAGACGTGTTTTGGTTTTATTATTTTTCCCTAAGCAGACTTATCTTATATATTTATAGGCAACCAAAACCCTAAGTCCAATTACATCTAAAGTCTGAAACGCGGCCCATAAACACAACCTAGTTTATAAACCCTGTCGGCGCATTACATTAAACCTAAACAGAACTAAAACCCTAACCA